TAATTTTACATCTATAAGCAAAATTTGCCAAACACTAAAAAACAACTTATCAGCTTATTGCAGTTTGGTACCGCTATAAGCTAATCCAAACACTTTTTACAAAACTCCAGTTTGATACCGCATAAGTTAATAAGCACTTTTACAAAAAAACATAAGTTGTTTTAAATAAGCTTACCCAAACACCCCCTAAAAATAAGTTTTGTCCCATTAAAATTAGTTTTTTGTCACGTGTTATTTATTTTATTTTTATCCCATGACATAAACAAAGTAAGAGAGGATTCACACCAAACAAACATGAAACAACATGTTTTGTTCCGTCATGTCCATTGTATCAAACGCACCCTAGAAAAATAAGAAAGCAACGATGGAAGAAAAGGAACTGGTTCTACAATTACGATTTAAGACTAAAATTTTCCAATATTCAAGCTCGATTCAAAATCAGAACCCTCAAAACGGTGTCTAAACTAAAAACTAAACATAAACTTCCGATAGTAAGATATACAACACGTAACAGTGATTCCTTTACCCAAGGGACTTTGGCCTAACGGTATTTGAGTCATTGGCCTCTTAGGAGGTCAATGGTTCAAACGTCACCAAAGGTAAGGAGGGTGTGTGAGTTTATTTATTCTATTTGCTCGTATGTAAGTATTATATACTTCAAAAAAATAGTGATTCCTTCTTTCTGTTCCAATGAACAAAAGGTCAAAATGAGCTACATTTTTTTACTTCAAAATTTATATGATTTCTTCTACAACCATATTTGATAACCACAATGTAAATTGAAATTGGACTCAGAGCAAAGGATTTTTCTCCTCTTCATAGATCATCGGGTAAGTTGATTTCAACACGACTCTGTTTAGACCCAACAATTTCACTACAATGTCAATTGTCAAATACCACAATAATTTCAACGTAAAAATTCTTCACGATATATGAACAAATTCGCAGCATTTTAACAGTTATGAACTAAAAAACCTATCAAATTGTAAACCCTAAACAATGAATACCAAACTAGAAGTGAAAAAAGAAAATAAGAATACTGATCAGGCAATCATGGTCCACGGATTTGGACAGAAGGATCTGATAACTGTCATCGGATGAATCGTACACACCACTTCAGAAAATCAGAGATGGACTCGATTTGGAGATTGGGAAAGCAGGCCTGAGGTCTTGGGGTTTGAGCATTGAGTACAATCGTCTTTCTTTGAAATAATTGTGATTTGTTTAATTTTTAATAGTTCAATTAAGAGGCAACAATTATAAAATTGTGAATAGAAATTTGCCACTTAATGGTTCTAATTTTTTTTAATGTAGTGTTTGGTACGTAGACTGGACTGGACATAACAGGACATGATGGGACAAAGACAGGACAGGACAGGACATGACTAAATTAGTTGTCTTACATTTGGTATGACTGAAACAAGACTGGATAAAACTGTTAAAATGATCAAATTGTCCCTAAACAGGAAGAAATTCATCTTCACAGGTTTTAATCGGTCTGTATGCCCTTTTAATCAAGTTCTTTTATATGGGTATTTTATGTTTTTTTGATTATTCGTTTCTTTTATTTAACCTAAAGAAATATGAACCGTTACAAAATCTAGTTAATGATCTTATCTCAAATTTTAGGTTTTCTTTTAATTTCTTGCAGATAATCGAAGAATCATTGGTGATTATTATCAATTTATTATTTGATCATGAGATAGAGGATTTGACATAAAAGAAGGCAATCAAATCATGTCGAAAGGAAAGGAGAGGGTGACTGAAGAATCAGACGAACAGGATAAAGAAGCGATGGTGAAGATGTGACGAATCATTAGAAAGGTATTTTGGTTTTATGATTGTTCCAAAAATGGATACTGGGTCTATTTTGGGAGCCCACAATCAATCAACCGCGGGAAGAGCAAAAAAAAGTGGTATTTTGTTATGCACCGACTGTCAAAACTAGCTTGAACTTGGATTCTCCGGCAGCTCTTCCGGTGAATCGGAGAAAGCCCAGGATGCAGATTACTCCACTTACATCCCTTCTCTCGATTATGAGTTAGAGGGTTTGATCTTAGTTAGATTTCCCATATCGAAATACTGAAAAATATCATTTGTCAATAAGTGGTTTGTCGTCTGGTGAAGTCCAACGAACTTTTCAAAATCCGGCGAGAAGTTGGGTTCAAGGAGCCGGTAGTTATGGCCGGAAGCTTTGAAACCATACTTGTCGAGGAGACGATGGATTGTTTTAGGTTTATTCGAGGGTATAAAAGTAATTTTATAATTTATCCCATGTTGTTCCACCAAAAAGGATGGAACAAAAAATCTCAAGATTTGTCCCATAAAATTTAAAAATAGTCTCATGTTGTCCTATGCTCTTTTGTCCATGGCATGTCAAACATGAAACTATTTTTTTTTGTCGCGTACCGTCCCATGTAATCTGCATACCAAACACACCCATTTAGGGTCTTAGTTTTATTGTAAACAATAACAAAACAATTATATTTCGTTTTATATTATATTATGAGAGTCTTTTAATCATCCTGAATTAAATTATCCGACAACTATCAAATTCTTCCAAATCATCTAGAAAAAAAAAAAAAAAAAAAAATAAATGGTCAACTTCTCCAAATTCTCTTAAAAAATATCGCTTAAAAAGAAAATATTTTTATTTTTTCAACATTTAAAATCAAATTAAATTTTTAGAAAACGGAAATAATATTTTATAAATTGTATTAAATATTTTAATCTAATAAAACTTTATTTTATTTGTTCGATCTCATCTCATCCGGTTTGTGTACCAAACGTATTGTTGAAGAGCATGTGGATAAATTATACCAAATAATTGATGATGAAATGAATTATGAGTAAAAAAATAACAAATTTAATGTTAAAGAAATATTTTGATGTACCAAACTATCAACACAACTAACACAAACGATACACATGGTTAGATTGAATTGAGGGGGGTGTTTGAGATTGCTTATTTGAAATAACTTATGTTCTTCTATAAAAGTCCTTATCAACTTATTATAAGTTATAATAGTTTAATTTTTTTAAAAAACTTCTTATTACCTGTTTAACATCGGTATAAGCTCTTTATCCAAACACTCAAAAGTGCTTATTACCGGTGTCACACCGAAATAAGTCAATAAGTTATTTTTATAAGCAATTCCAAACACCCCATGAATTAAGATTTTTTAAATCACAAAAATTAAATTGATTATTTAAATGTCTTCAACATAATCAACTTAGTTCATTAACTAACCGAATATTTTAATCATTTTTTATTTATCAAAAAAAAGATTTTTATGTACAAAGCTAGAGGGTCTAATTCGATTCATAAGGGGTTATTTTGTGATAAAACAAAACTAGAGGGTCCTTTATTGTAAAAAGACATCAAGGAGTAATTGTGATTTATAAAACATATGGGGTCTATTTTATGATAAACAAAACTATAGGGACCTATAGTGTAAAAAGATCGAGGAGGAGCCCAGTTGGATTTGTAACAGTGATGAGCTTTGTATATTATCAGGCGATTTTATCCACACACCCACCACGATTTATGAATCCCACTCTCTACAAACCCTAGAAATCCTTCACCACCGGAGAAGAAGAAGAGACTGATTGATTCTCTATATATATACATATACATATAGGTAACATAGAAATTCGAGGAAGATATGGCGGTTGCGAACGCTTCTTGGGTTACAGGAACCTCACTCTCAAATATCCCCCAAATCAGACATCCTCTGTCTTCTGGTTTTGATTTTTCTGTTGCCAGGAGATCTTTCAGGCTGAGGTTGGTATCGGGTTCGAGTAATGCTCTCAAATCGTTCCCAATTCATACCAGTTGTCGTTGCAGCAGCAACGGCACTAATTCCGATCACGACACCTCTTCCGATTGGGATTGGAATAGGTGGACTCGCCATTTCTCCGAAATCGAGCTCGCTGAGCGTTCTGTTTCTCTTCTTCAGGTGTGTTAATATATATATATATATATATATATGTATATATATACTTCTATTGTAGGTTATACGCCGTTATACTTGCTGATTGTTGTTCAATTGCTAACATTTTATTCTATGGATATTTAACAAATTTATGGTTAAATTATCATATTTTACTGAAAATATCATCTCATATGGCTAGGGATTTGGAAATTATAATTTATACGTCATTGTGTCTCAACTCCCATTGTCATTTTTTAATTCAGTCTGATAGTCTTACGATTTGGGTGTGTCTGTGTGATATAGCATGCCAATTGCATAAATATATCGTTAATTTAAGCTTTGTGGAGATTGTCCTAGACCATAGTAGCATACTAGGTTACGTGCTGTATAATCCTTTTATGGTTCTTAACAATATCCGTTTTGAGTTAGCATTTTCCTTCAGTTAGTATTGCCAAAACGCCTTATGATTTCAAATTCTTAATTGTAAATTTAAGTGTTCACAGCTAGACCATCTAGAGAGAAGCAGAGGTGGGAGAAGAGGCTGCACGGAAAATCTTGAATATTGATGGGAAACAAATTGTGCGTAAGTGGTTGGAACTTGTTTAGGATAGCATACATGTATCGAGTTTGAACTGGACACATGGTGGATTACCAGGGTCCAAGGGTGTGTCAGTGGGTAGATGACAGAAATTTCATCCCATGAGGTTTGCTGCCTGGAACTTCTAGAAAAAGTTGAAGAAAGTAAAGTAGAAACCATTAGAGGAAGGGGGACAAATGGAATGGCATGAGTATATTTATAGCATGCTTTTTCTGGGTCAAGGACTCAAGGTGAAGAAAGGGGACACATAGTTGATCAACTCACCAACTTGTTTTACCATTTCTAGCCAAATCAAATGCAATTACATATAATATTTGGCTATTTGTTAGAAATTAGGAAATTAGCATGAAAACGAGTAAGAAAATCTCTCCTACTATGGTTAAGAACTTGGGCCAACATTTCTGCGTTATATTCCCTCGTGTTCAACGAGAGCTGCGATTATTAACCACTTGTACCAAAAAAATGGTACACTCTGATTTTTGTATGTCAAACCTTGTGCTTTGTGAATGGAAGATTTTTTTGGGATATTGTTACAAATGTATCATCAACGTCATTTTGTATGGGACCTTTTTTTATTTTTCTACATACCAATCTATGCACTTAGCAACTTTTTCTTAAAATATTCTTAGACTTGAACACCGATAACAACTCCTTAATTGGAAGTACTAGACTACTTATACTAATGGAACATGAAGACAACATCTTTAAGCATATAAAACCTCACATATTGATCTATCATTGAATTTGTCCTGTAAAATGTAAGGCCGTGAGCAACGGCTCAATATTTCTGCAACTTGAGACACTTGTCCTTTTTCTAGTATAAATGCATGAATAACTAGGCGATGGACAGCTACCATTGTCTTCTGCTAGTGAAAGATGAAAACAGTTTGTGTTGCTCTTTTTTTTTGATTAATCTGGATATCCAACCTGCTATGCGAGCCGACTAATCCCAGGGCGACCCTCCGCTTCGTGGGTAGCCCGGAGTTACTGCATTTGAACCTCCATGGCCACAAGGGGATTTACTTGGATTCAAACCGGGGACTTCCAGACACTTTTAACCTTTGGAGCCCAAACTCAAACCAATCGGGCACCACCCTTGTGGTTTTGTGTTGCTTTTTCCGGTTTTACGTAATGTACAGAGTAAGTCTTACGGTGCGATAGATGAGTGAGCATACTCTTTAAGCCCAATCTGCTGATTTGTCCCTTTTAGTTACTCATATGAGCCTCTATGTCCTGCACTTCTCTTGTGCTGCTTGTAGCATTTTACTGTTCCTGTTTTGTGTATGTGTATGCATGTATATATATATATATATATAGAGAGAGAGAGAGAGAGAGAGAGAGAGAGAGAGAGAGGGAAAATCAAATGTGAGCCATAAATATGTTACAAACCTGTGAGCATCAATTCAAACATTCAACGAGTTTCACTTTAAACTAGGATTTAAGTTGTTTCACATTGTTTGTTCTTGTGTGTGAAATGTATTTACATGTTACTTTTTCACATCCGAATCAACCGTACTGTATGTTTCACATGTATTGTTTCATATATGAAACAACACATGAAAATTGGTTCGCACGGTTTATAAGATTTTTGTGGCTCGCATTTGATTTGCCTCCTTATAATAGAATGGAATCGGGTAGGAACTTTCTTTTCCATGGGAACCATAGGAACCACATTGTTACCGAGGTTCACATAAGTTAACATCCTCACATATGCTAACATACATGTTAACGTACGTTAGCATATGTGAGCCTCCGATAAGAAAGTGGTTCCTATGGTTCTCGTAAAATTTTGAGTTCTTCCGGGAACCAAACTCTATATATCTATATAATCAGAAGGTACCCTTGTTAGGTACTCAAATGAATGCCTTGGTACTTGGTAATTGGTATATATTAACCATTTTTCCTGACCCTTATGTGGTCAGACTGATCCTGAGGTTTCTGTAGGGGACCATGGTTATCAATTTACATGTAAATACATAATGTAATTTTGAAGTAGCCACCCACTCTCTATAAAATTGACATTCCAATCTAAATCTAGGTACTTTGGGAATTTAATATGTTACACGAATATGCGTGGTCAAAGTATGGTCTTTACTTTTTCATTTGTTTTAACGAGTTACTTTGCTTTCCAGTTTCAACTAGAAGAAGCAATAGAGAAAGAAGATTTCCAGGAAGCGTTAAAGTTGAAAACAGCCATAGCAGAAGCAACGTCAAAGGATAGTGTTGCTGAGATTATGTCTGAGTTGAAGGTCAGATCAGAGTCGAATGAGTAAGAAAGTTATGAATGTCTACGAATCCTGGGGCTCACTGGTCTATTTCTTTGCAGAACGCTATACATGAAGAGCGTTATCATGATGCTTCGAAGTTGTGTAAAAATACAGGAAGTGGTCTGGTAATACTATTGGATGCTACTTAATTGCTTGTTTGTACCTCTTGCTTTATTACCCACCACATCTTGCTTTCAAAGGAAGTGGGTTCTTCATTGCAGCTAGTGCTGTTTGTGTAATTTAAGGATATATCTTGTGATGCTTGTGATACACATTATGAAGAGATTGGCTCTTAAAAATGCAGGTTTAAAAGAAGTTCAGAAGAATGATTAAACTGGTGCAGTTTGATCTTGTTAGAGTAGTCGAGAAGTACCAAATCTTCAGCGCTTATTTTGTTAGATAATATGAGAACTGTACTCGTCTGGTTAATATTTCTTGCTTGCCAGTTCAAATACGCAATGCCATTTGTCTGCTTGTTATTCTATGTGATTATATATTAAGCATCCCAATGCAAGTTAAAAAATGATACGAGTATCTTGCATTATGCTGTATCTATGATGTCGCTTGTTATTCTATGTGATTATATATTAAGCATCGCAATGCAAGTTAAAAAATGATACGAGTATCTTGCATTATGCTGTATCTATGATGTCGTGAGTCATTGATGTGAAAAAATTATTTGAAATTATCATCATTAATGAATGATCACTCTAATACTTTCAGGTTGGTTGGTGGGTGGGTTACTCAAAAGATTCTGATGATCCGTTTGGAAGACTTATACGCATAACACCAGGCGTAGGCAGATTTATTGGCAGAAGTTACAACCCAAGGTATGGTTGTAAGAATGAGAAAGGAAAACACCATATATTATCTGCATTTGGTTCACTTAAATATCTACAAACGACAGTTGTGATGTTTGTTTATTACAGGCAATTGGTGTCTGCATCTCCTGGAACTCCATTGTTTGAAATCTTTGTGGTCAAAGAGACTGATGAAACGTACACTATGCAGGTAACTTACAAATCATTATTTTATCTTGATTGTTAAGATGGGCCTTGGACAAATGATCTTGCAAATTGAAGGACTTGATCTAACAAACTTGCATATGTGATTTATCATTTCTGTTTATTAATTGAACTGATGACACTGGTTTGAGAAAAATGTTGGTGAAAATTTCCAGGTCCGTTAAGTGTTGGCATAGAGTCGATGTGTGTAGTTGGACCGAGCTTGTTACACATGTTCAAACCCGGCTCAAGGCCTCTGAGGTTGATGTGAGTCATGCATGTTTTTCGACAAGCTACATATAATCTGTTTAGGGTTAGGGTGAGAGGAGGGTTTGGAAACCATAGGACACTGCCCTTCATCTCAATTTGAGAATTGATTTTTCCTCTTGAAGACATTTCACCATCAATGGTTGTCAAAAAAACAAGCCAACTTGATATGTGCTATGCTAGATTTGTGATCTTTTATGGCACATGTTAGAATTTTCAGAATTTATGGATTTTATATGATGCTTGCTTTCAGATATACGCTCTCATTTCACATCAAATGTGCCCTTTTTTGGAATTTCGATTAAAGTTTCTTCACTTCTCATTTGTATTATAGAGGTTGGTCAGACCATGAAGTAGCTTTTTACAATCCTGGTGGGGTCCTCAAGTAGGATAACCTCTCTTTCTCAGATGCTTATGATATGTTACTATTATCACGGATCAAATCAGATAACACCTTGGCTTATACTGATTACTAAATTAACAGGAAGGGTGTCTACTTTACCAGCATGTTGATTTTCTTGGCATTATTATGCTCTCATGTGTTAGGCTGACAGTTGTTTCTGGTGGCATATCTTCCTGTTAATTCAGTAAATGCCAGTTTAATTGATTCTGGTCCTGATGATAGTAATATTATGGATATCACTGTTTCATCTGCTCCACAATTGGAGTCCACTTTGTGAATATTTTTTCTTCACAATTAGGTTTACCATTTATGGAATATTGATTTTTGCCAATTTTGGTACTTGGAGAGTATATAACAAAGGAAACTTTTTGCAGTCTGAAGAGGATCTTTTTATTTTATGAATGTGAGAAGCGAAAGTATACATAACTTGAGCTTTAAAATTTTCACACCAATTCAGGAATTCTGATTGTATTGAATTAACTAGGCTTGTTCTCACCCATGTTACCTTTCTTAAGCACTATTTGTTTACCAACTTTCCAGCTTTCTCAGTTCATCCTATCCTATTTGGCCCCGGCATGCATAGTTTCTAGCCTTACTACATCCAACTCCTACACCAATGCTGAATCCAATTTAAGGAGCTAGCAGTGATTCAAACATAGGTCACACTGTTTACTTCCTGAGCTTTTCGTGTAAGAACATGCATAGCTAATTCCTATTTCCTTTTTTCATCTTTAGGGGCTGTTTGGTTGTTTTTCATCAAGTCATGTATGGATAAAGCTGTCTGTATAGATTGAGAAAGTTTGTGTTTGGGAGGGTTTTTTCATAGATGAAAGGAGCCTTTTTTTTCATTGGGAGGGACAAGTTTGGAAAAAACTTGGTTTTCTGTATAAAGCTCCCCCCTAGAAGCTTACTGAGTAAGCCACTTTCTATATCATCAAGCCACTACCAAACAGTTATTTAAAGCTGACTGAATAAGCTGCGAGTCCCATTAGGCTTATTAAGCTGCTAACAAATAGGCCCTGTGTTTTAAACACCAGCTACCACCAACTTTTATTGAAAAAAGGCCAAAAGAATAACTTTTATTCCTATGTGGTTGCAAGTCGTTTGGTTAATTCCTTCTGGTTCTGTCTGTAGCGTTCATCTTCCCCTTTCTGACTGTGAAAGCTAATCATCGATCTGTTTTGATAGGTAGTGTTCATGCAACGAGCTAAAACAAGCAACTCAAAAGCCGCATCTCCATCCACTTCCTCATCCACAAAAGGGACATCAGTTGCAGATATTGAGAATGCATCTGTAATTGATGTGAAAGTGAATGAAGATAAACCTGGTAAAAATGATGAGAAAAGCATAAATTTTGAGGGAGCCACTGAGGACGGGATAAGAAGCGTGATAAATTTTCTTAAAGACAAAATTCCTGAACTAAAAATAAAAGACCTGAAGGTTATGAAAGTCGATGTTGAAGAAGTAATCGAGGATAGTGATACTGTGAATCAGCTGATGCAAGAAGATGATGAGAAAACAACTTCGGATGAGGACTCCGAAGATGAAACTACTGATCTGGATGACCCTCAGCCTGACCGAATTGTTGTGGGACCAAACAGTGATGCATCAGACGACACCAAAAATTTAGAAATGAAGCTTTTTGTTGGCGGGGTTTTACACAATAGGGAGGATACTCCTTCCAAGGACGAATTAGTGCGTGTTCCTGCTGAAATTGAAGAAATGGAGAAAGACTCTTTTGTGCTACATGTTCCCATTAAAAGTCATGATCATGATAGCGAGGAAAGCATTGCATCGAAGGTGAAAATAGCTGCTATCGCCAGTCAAGGTGTTTCTGAACTGATGCCTCCTGATGTAGCAAAGGCATTATGGAGTTCTGATAAAGTTTCTCGAAAGGTAAGGATGAAATAGAATTATAACATTCGGTTTCATCATGCTTTTCTGCTGTTCTGTTCACAACGCACTTGATTTTGGGAACAGAGAAACAGGTTCACAAAATTTAAATGCCTTCTTTCATGTTTTCTGTCGTGTTGCATGATATTTATATCCAAACAGTGTACAAATGTACTTTGTACACACATACATACATATATATATATATATATATATCCTTGCAAATGTAACAGCCCATTCCCGATGGATAGAAAATTAGATTCATGAGCTTCTTGTTAGCTTAAAGTTGTGGGCTACCAATTACTTCCACCATGGTCTTAAGTTCAATTAGAAGTTATTGGGTCAGCAGGCGTTACAACAATGTATATTCATATGCTTCAGAACTTGTATGTGTGGGTTATTAACAAAGAAAAGTCCATTGTCATAAATCTGTAGGTCTCAAGGGATGTTCGTGAAATTGTCAAGTTTGCAGTTAGTCAGGCGAAGAAGCGGGAGAAATTGTCGGAGTATACAAATTTTAGTCGGATCACCACATCCAGAGGGGATTTAGATCCGTTTGACGGTGAGTCCCTTTCTATTTCTGTCTTTGTTCTCCCAAACTAGATAAGACTCTCCATTAGGATGACCAATTGCTTCCTATATAGGTCTTTATGTTGGTGCATTTGGCCCATATGGTACTGAGGTGGTACAGTTAAGGCGTAAATATGGCAACTGGAGTGGTGCGAATGATGTTGAGTTCTTTGAGTATGTTGAAGCTGTGAAGGTGACAGGAGATCTAAACGTTCCCGCTGGCCAGGTTAACGGCTTTTGAAATTCTCTGTTTTTATCTACAAATTGCATATTTGTTGTCTAACCGGTCTTTTTTTATCTTTAGGTGACATTCCGTGCTAAACTTGCAAAAGGGAGCCACTTCTCGAACCGTGGGATGTATCCAGATGAATTGGGAGTGGTAATTGTGCATACTTCTCTTTGCAAATGTCTCTGAATTTTGAACCTTCCATAGTCCGATGAAGGATCGTGTGAGAATAGGAGTTAAGCTGAGAAGCATAAGAAGGGATCTGGACCCTTGATCACAATTAATCTCACCCCCACTCCATGAATTGCACTTGATACGGGAATTGATCCGGTGTATCTCATTAATGTTGATCTTCAATTAGGATCGATCCAACCGGTGAAGACCCTTCTTACCCTTCTCACCGTAACTTCCATTCTCATCGGACCTCCATAGTCCTATTTTAAACCCATGGTTATGGGTATAAGTTAGGACAGTCCCTTTTGATCTTTCTTACAATTCTCTTGGGTGGTTAGAGCATTTCTCCAACATAATCTAAAAAATAGAGAAAATGGAGATTATGGAGTTTTTCTTGCTCAAATAGGATCTTTAATATGAGAGAGTTTTTCCATATTTGGGGGAGGAGAAGAAATCTCCAAAGCTAAATTTGGAGGAGGGAGAAGGTAAATTAATTATTTTTTTACTTCTTATATATGAGAGAGAACATAAAGTTACAATTTTATAAAAAAGATTGTTGGGGGTATTAAACGTATATATTTTAATATAATTAATGCTAGAATCTCAAAAAATGGAGAAACTGTTGGAGTTTAATGTAATTCTTTTTTTTAGATTTTGTATTTTCCAGTCTATTTTGGAAAAGTTACATAGAAATTGCTGGAGATACTCTTAATTGGTAATTTGGAGGCAGTTGCGGGCTTAATATTATATTACGGGATTGTGTTAGGGTACCACACGGAGTTAAGTTAATTTAGTTGATTCAACTGGCATCTTATTTAAGGACTTGTTTTGTTAGGTTGCGAGTTACAAAGGTCAAGGCAGAATCGCTGAATTTGGTTTCAAAAATCCGAAGTGGGTTGAGGGTGAACTTCTCCAACTTAATGGCAAGGTAACACTATAATTCCTCAACCCCCGTCTTCTGGTTGTGTGTCTCGTCTGTTTGAATGTTGTTGCTTATTTCGCATTTTCAATTTTTAGCTCTTTTTTTTTTAAGTTCTTATTTTCCTATCACCATAACTTTTTTGGGCAAGCTTTCTTTTCACACACTTTGCACAAGCCGGGGGTCTTCACGGAATTGGTCACTCTACTCTTTGGCCCCTTCTCCGAGTGGACATAGTGGGTTTGTTTGATTTAGTTTGGTTATCTATAACGAGGAAAATAAAACAAATATAACAACAGAAATCGACAAATTTTTTTATTGTAAAACGTTCTACAGGGCATGGGACCATACGTCAAAGGTGCCGACCTTGGTTTCCTCTATGTTGTCCCCGAGCAAAGTTTTCTCGTGCTATTTAACCGTTTGAGACTGCCGGAATAAGCAAGAGCAGCCCAAGATCCAAAAACATGCTGCTAGATTTTGAAGAGAGGGGATTTCTTTGTTCATCACTTTCTTCTCAAAGAGGTACCAACCCCACCCCACCCGAATAACAATGTAACTATTAAAATTTATCCTTTCTCCTCTAGTCATACATGTTAGCAATAGTTCCTATATCGTCATATATGTATATTTTTCAAATAGACAGTATAACTGTTGCCCTAAAAATCCATTACTTGAACTACTTGTGTAGTACATTTTGTGTTCAGTTGTAGGTGGGATTTCTTGGTCCCACTTGGAGTCTTCACGGAAACTGGGGTGGAGGTCAAGTCTATGTACATCAACCCTACTTTTGGGTGGGATTAATGGGTCTATTTGGTTATTTCTTGGTCCCACCAATTGATATAAATAACAATTAGTGCTGCATTATTGAAGGCTTAAGTCCAGATGGGAAATGGCCATGCAAATTGATAATGCATAGAGAAAAATAGCTTTAAGGAAAGGTAGATGGTGGGGTTTTTAGTCCGACTTTTCATTTCCAAATTCTGCATACTTGGTATATGTGTGTGTGTATGTATATATATATATATATTAAATTAGGTGTAGAGTGTAGATGATTTGCTTTTTAGAGTTAAAGTATTAAAGGTAAAGGGGCAGGTTTTGTTGAACAAAGGATCTTTATAATAAAGCAGAATAAGTGGATGCTGATGGTATCTTTACTTGACACAAACAAAACAAATTCTGGGAATTTGTGTTTTCATGATAGCCTTTGGATTATGACATAAAACTTGTGTTTGTAATCATTACTCCTTGTTTTCTTTGAAAAAGATGCTATAATTTCGGTGGATGTATGCATACTTGATTTCTAGTGATTTCTATCTCAAAGAGTAGAGTGACTATTTTTATAAAGGTCACGAGTTGTTCTTAGATAAGAAAATATTAAGCAATATAATATATAAATGGGTACAATGAAACAAAGGAAGGGTAAGGAAAGATGTTTCATGCTAATTATAGTAGGACTGTTGTAACCTATCTGCCGGCTCGCTAACCCTTCGGTCTATCCATATCCGTTCCTCCCATCCATGCTATCGCTACCCCCGGTCTGTAGTCTTGTTTACAAATTACTGAGGGTGCGTTTGGTACTTCGAATAATACATGACAGAATGGAACGAGAACTTGTTGTCTCAAGTTTGTTGCTACAATTAGACTGGGTTAGACAGTACGAAGTGGGACAAAAATGGATTTTTATAAGTTGGTGGAACAAAAATTAGGGGAATGGAACTAGCCTGGTAAATTACTAAACTACCCATGTAAAATTAAAACCCTAAAAACTTATAAGACTCTTCCATTCCCTACCTCACTTTAGCCCTTCTGGACCTGTCCAGTCTTATCCAATCCTGTCCGGGTACCGAATGCACCCTGAAGGAAGGAACCAGACTCTTGAAAAAGATTTTAGATCCTTTAATGGTCAAATAGGTTCGGAAAACAATGTAGAAATGTTTATCAGATGAAGAGTACATCATTTTAAAAGGGGTGTCTTTTATGTTTTTTAGTTTTCTTTTTAAAATGTGATTTGCTTAACAACTGTTTAGTTTTTGTGAAGAATGGCTTTTCCTTCTGTTTTCTGCGGGCATTTCTTCCTACTTGATTTTATCACAGAAACCAGAATATGAGCAGTGAGAGATGCCATATAGAAAATACAGAGAATGGTTACAGTGAGATCCCAAACTTATTGAAGCTTAGATCGATAAGGCATCCGATGCTTTTCTTAAGACTTTTACTGCTTGTTTACTGTCCGTCTTTTGGTACTTATTTCACAATATTCAGAACCTTTAGGTTATAGAATTATTTTTGGAAACTGTGGGTGTCTGGGTGAGTTTACACACACCTCGATTGATCATATGTGACTCTGAAGATAACAGTCAAAGAGGAGACTCTAATTGATGACCTATAGCCTTTATTTGATAGAAATGCGAGAATTATGTGTATACAAGAAAGTATATTCTTAGATTTAGGTCGTTTACCAAACGCTTACCAAACAAGCTCTTACAAGCAAGATCACCACCATCACTTAACTTATCTGGTAACATTCTTGGTCGTTAAAACGGATTGTTGATAAGCGTCCTTTACCAAGTAATCCTTGCTAGGTAAGAGTCCTCTCTCACTTACTGGGTAAGATTCTCGGGCCTTGTTGTGCCTCTTATTGGGTAGGGACCTCTTACTGAGCAGGGATGGATCTAGGTAAGTGGCACGTGCCATCGTATTGTCCCTCTGTAATAAGGTAAAAAATGTAGGTTTGTGAAAGGTGTTACTGTATTGTTTTAGATGATGAAACTTTTTTATATGGTGCCTCCATATGGAAAAATTTATGGGTCTGTCCCTGTTACCAGATAAAATTCTAGGTCTTTGTCATCCTCATCTCAAAAGTAAATGACATCCGGTAAGCGCTTACCCAATAAACATTTGGTAAACGACGTGACTATAATACCTTTCATGCTAAGAACGTGTCATTTTTATCAAGTGCTTTTTCATTGACTTGATATAGAAGCAAAATATTTTGATTAGCAGGAGCTATCAAAATTTTGCTTTTCTTCCTTTCTCTGTCTCTAGTTCACCACTTTCGTCTTCTTGCTCTTTTTTCAAATTCTTTGAACCTTTTGGACAAACTTTCTTTTGTCTGATACACTTTTCACAAGTTAGAGGTCTGTATAGAAACAACTGTTCTACTCTAAAAGGTATCTGTATACGTTCCACTTCCAGATCCCACCTTTGGGTAGGATGTGCTAGACTCGTTTGGTTTAAATATCAATAGTCCCTGCAACATTGGGCTAGTGGGTAAAACTGTAAGCATTATTGCAAAAATAAGTGGAAGATCTGGAGTTCGACTCCAAGTGATTTACCTCCCTAATGATGGTCATAACGCGGTTGCATACCCTTTTTTTCGGATGTGGGTGCGGGATGATGAGATTATAAACAATAACACATTTTGTATAAAGATCTTATCAACAAGTGCACATATTGTACTTTGTTACATGCATGTTGGTGTTCTATTTGAAGTCTATGATGCATGTTTTGAAAACTTAGGGGGTGTCTGGTTTGAGGGATTTGAAATCTTTGGTGTATTTGGTTTGTAGGATTTGTAATGGAATTGAATTCTATTATTTATAAGAAAATTATTAAAAATTTATAAAAATAATTAAATTTTTGTCTTTTTATTATTTGATTATTACAAAACAAATGTTTTAACATAATTTGAACCATTGTTACATACAAATTCAATGAAATTCTGTGAAATACCAACCAACTCCATGGGACTTCAAAATCTTATGTTTGTGGGATTTCATTTTAAATTCTTCCAACCAAACATGGGATTGAAATGAAATTCAATTCCAAATCTAATTCAATCCCACAAACCAAACGGGATCTTAATGTATATTAAATCTCTCTCTCACACACACACACATACTACTTACAAGATATTCATGATGAATAACAAAGCCTTCCTCTACTACTCATTTTGCATCAGAACTAGTTATTTATGATAAATAACACTGAACAATAATCAATATTATGAATGGGTTTATATGTGAACCAATGTGATATGTATATGAACTATATGTTCATATATGAACTTGTTAATTTGTTCACATGTGAAATGTTTAACTAATTCATATATATATATATATATATATATATATATCCAATTTGGTAAATATTTGAAAAGTAAAGAAGTGATCATAACTCTTCGTAAGGTTTAAATCGGATTTGACTGGTTAATAATTGTGGATTTGATTGGTCAAAAATTGCGGCTATATGAACTAATTAATTGATTCACATATGAAATAATTAATTGATTCAAATATCTTCACTGATTCAAATATGAACCAACATGAATCAGTTAAATAGTTCACATGTGAACTATTTAAACAAGTTCATTTATCAACCTATGGTTTATGTGTGAATCATATGAGTTCACATATGAACCTGTTTGCCGTCTATTGTAAATGTTACGAAACTATCCCTCCATTTTTCGCATACCCATGCGAGGAATTATTTGGTGTTTCATGGTTAAAACCGCAAATTTTGACCAGATAAAGGGTTATGATCACTTCTTTACTTCTTAGATGAATCTTTCTTTATATACATATACATATACATATATATATATACATATATATACATATACATATACATATACATATATATATATATACACATATATATATATATACATATACATATACATATATATATACATATACATATACATATATACATATACATATACATATATATATATATATACATATACATATATATATAGTCAGATTCAAGGAAAAAAAATGAAAAACTAAGTAACACTTTAGTAACCATTAATCTGGACGATATGTACATATGCATATTGGTAATTTTAAGTAATTTGTTTAGTACACACATGTGCATAAAAACCAAGAAACAACTTCAATTATCAATATGCATACCATCCAGATAAATGATTGTTAGCGTGTTAACCTCCCTCTTTTTATATGTGTGTGAGAGAGAGGGAGAGAGAGATGTGGTATGGTGTCTTTTTAAGGTGAGGGAGAGAGAGAGAATATGATTGGTTGAAGGAAAGGAAAAGAATAAATGGGGGAGGGAGGCATTGTTTGTGTGGCTTTATCATGTGTTGGGGAAAGCTTACTCTCAAAGTAAATGTTGGAACACTTTGTACTAGTCCATATTTATTTAGTAGTGCCATCACTTACCTATACCATTTTATATTTATTATCTATTCTTTTTCTAATTAATTTTAAATCGTTTTCTTTAATATATAATATTTATATACGACAAATGCAATAAATAAACGCACACATCCTCATCACACCTGATAAGTTTTTTGTGTCAACAACATATTTTAAAAAAAAATACGTTAAACTTGAAAACAGAAAAAGGGATTATGTGCCAGTGACTGGTATGTAGGACTTCGTAAGTGAGATGAACTTCTTGTTCAACATCAGATATGGGATCTAGCAGACGTGAACCATGTTAACTGTTGTATGTTTCTGCTAATGATTAAATGATTAAGATGGCTTCGCTCATGGTCATGTGTTGGCTCGTTTTTTTTTTTTATCCTTTCTTTGTTCTGGTCACGTTGATCGTTGTTTATTGACGAAAGACTGAGAAAGGAAATACTATGATACTAGTTCGGATCCCCTCCAAATGTACTATAAGAGGAAATTATTTACGGTTGAGAAAAACTGAATATTTCGTGTATAATAAATATAACGTTGGCTTAATGTATTATTTAATAGAATGATTTGATTGTTGATTACTTTTTTTTTAGAGGAAAGTACAATTACGAACCTGATTTTCATTGAGAACCAGGGAGCATGACATATGTTCATATTCATCATGAATAATGGACGTGGATTTTTAACAACATTCATGATGAATAATACACTATTTATGGTGAATGTCCTGGAGACATCGTGTGTAGTCTTGTTGGTCCCCCTGTTTGTAACGAAAATTATGTTCGCAACCGAAGATAACCGTATTTTTTTTTGTATAATTAGTAAAAATTCAACACCATTAAGAATGATTGTTTTAATTTTAAGGAGTAATATCCAAATATCGATTCTTATACCACTTTTATTACAATCGATAAAGGTATTTGTACAATGCAGCGAGATATATCTCGATTTTAATGCTTCGTTTTATTATTTGTCTCTGTCGATATGATACAGTTTTATGTGATTTTTTGAGAAAATGATAACGATTTTATTTTTTGAATAAAATATAAATATGAAGATATTAAAAATTTAAAAAAAATACATCAATATTAGTATCAAATTAACTATTTAAAACTTCTTTTTTTGTAATTTTTTATTATAATTTAATTTAAGTTTAATGACGAAATAATTTATTTTTGGTTTAATAATGTAATTTTTCATAAAGATGATAATTAAGTGTGCTATTAGAAGTCAATGACTATCCTAATTATGTTTTAATTTTTTTATATTTAAAATAAAATATTTATCTTATATTTGATTATATTTATCTGCAATTAGTTACATGAATTCAAACATGAACCTTTAGTAAATTGTATTTACGTATAATTTATTTGCATACTTTAAATTTTAAGTAATAAACAATATTTTATATACGATATTAAAATTATTTATTTATGGGAGAATATATTGATTATATTTTATTTTGGTCCCAAACCCACACAAAAGGTTTTTGCTTTTTCCCTCTCTCTTCATCTCCTTCGACTTCTTTTAAACTCGGAACTTCCTTTCACTTCTCTTCCCACCACCGGAAAAAATCGCCATGGACGGTCACAAAGACAACAATCGCCACCGCGGCACCGCCACCGCCACCATCCCCACCCCCACTACCATCACCACCACCACCACCAACAACCGATCAATGTCCGACACCGACTCCCAATTCGACGAGTTCCATTCCTCCGCGAATTCCCCTCTTCAATTCGACGAATTCCCCTCTTCTCCTTCTAAAGCCATAGTCTCCGTCGACAAATACTATACTTCATCCAGATCTCCTACTTCCAACCACCAAAAGCCTCCTCAGACCTTTAGTCTCCCGCCGACTGCAAAAGCTCAGTCGCCTACGGTAGCCTATAACCGATCGGCGAGAGAGGAGTCGGTGACCGGTGTCACTAAAGTAAGCCCCGGCGGTGTGGAGGAGGGGACCGTTGGTGGTGGAGGAGAGAGAAGGCCGAGGACGGCGTCGCCGGGATCGAGGAGGTCGAGAAGAGAAGTGATGGTTGATAGAGCTGCGTTAGGGTTTAGGATCTTAGAAGTGATATTAAGCGTGGTTGCCTTCTCTGTAATGGCGTCTGATAAAACTCAAGGGTGGAGCGGTGACTCGTTTGATCGATACAAGGAGTACAGGTACAAACCTTCTCAATGAATTTGTAGTTTTAGAATTCGATTCTTCCAATTAATCCGAATTCGATACCAGTCGGAGATTTCGATGAAATTGCGGATCGACTTTAGGGAGGAAGTTCATATTTCTGATCATTCATCAAGTAAAATCCAAGTAATTAGTCAGTATGGCTAGTATGAAGAGTGGACTAAAATCGACTACCATCCAGGTCAATCAAACATGACAAATTCTTGCTTAATTTGGTAAATTTTAAGGATTTCTATCAATTCCAAGATATTTAAATTTGAAAATATGACTTTTGCCTTCATTAGGTCGAACAATTCTGCTAGAAAAGTGGAAGGAATTTGTTCTTTTATGTTCAACAAATAAAGTCAGAAAGGATTTTGCAAGTATACCCAATTGAATGGTTGCCCTAGATAGGAGAATAATACATAGATTGTTGCCTGATTATGTTCCATTTAGCTTCTTCACCTTCAATTCAAGTAAAAAAGCCAACTTTACGGATGTACTTTGTTCTTCTCTTAAGGTTTGGAGATCAGCTTAAACTGGGAATAATATAAGAGGGATAGAGGACTTGGTCAGGATTGCAGACAAAGGTGGTGTCTGAGTTTGATGCTTTATAAAGATGGATCCAATAAGTAAAGTTAGGAGTTGTTTGATCATTGATGGGGTGGTGTTGAAATTAGTGGTGTTTTTGATGTCTTGGGACAATGATAGAACAAAAACTTTTTGTCCCACGTTTGACGTGATATGAGAATGGGATAGAACGGGATTGAGTGGCAACCAAAAATAGGTGGAAACAAAACTCTGGGAGATGAGATAAGATTGATAAATTATAGAATTAACCATGTCAAATTAAAAGCCTGAAACCTTTCGCAATTCTTTCACCCCTTAACTCAATCTCGCCCGTCAAGTTCTATCATGTCCAGTCCGGTCCAATTTCGTCCAAGTACCAAATGCACGAAACCTCTGAATCGAAATTAAAATTGAGTACACATTTTCTTGACTCACACGATGAGTAGTTCAAATACTGTAGCGCTCAAATGTTTGTCAACACTATTACATTTGTTTGTGGCCAAAGTTTTGCTTTTTTCTTCATATATAAATGAGTACACTACCTGTCATCCTTAACAAATCAAATTGTAGTTTAATATAATGCTTTTTTTTGAGAAGATTGAACCCAACCAGAAGCAACTCAGCAGCTAGTTTCTAGTTAGTTGGTTACGTTTTTTGGTGTTAAAGAGTGCATTAAGAATGTCCAGTTTAGGAATTTAGTGTCCTAGTTACATCTTTTGATAGCGTTGCTTTCAGATATTTGATTCGACAGGCAGATTCTGGCTGGTGAGAAGTACAATAAAAGAGCAATGACATTTTTTTATCAATATATGTTTAGGGTTGCCGGTTGTTTTACGTGATGTCAAGTTTCTTTTTGTGGGTTGACTAGGTTAGATGATGTCTTTTTGTTGTCATGCTCCATTGGTTGTACCTTTGATCTTTGGACTAGCTTCTTGTTTTGATGCTTATTCTATCACCGAGTGTATGCCTCTATATTTCGTGTGTCCTCTTTATGCAAATTCTTGGATTTATCACAATAGAAAACACATTCAGATGCAACTTGAAGGTGGTTTGGTATACAGACTGGACTGGACTGGACTGGACTGGACTGGACTGGATGGGCGAGGGCGAGGGCGAGGGCGAGGGCGAGGGCGAGGGCGAGGGCGAGGGCGAGGGCGAGGGTGAGGTAGGCAGGCCAAACTGCAAAAGAATCATGGAAGGTTTTAGGCTTTAAATTTGACATGGGTAGTTTAGTAATTTACGGTCTTGTTCTATTTCTTTGATTTCTGTTCCACCTATTTTGGTGGGACAGAAAAAATGCATTTTTGTCCCACTTCAATGTCCTTGCCTGTCTCAGTATAATGTCTCACCAAATGTGGGATAACAAGTTCTAATTTGATATGGTAGTTTAGTGATTTACCAATCTTGTCTCATCTTCCTTAGTTCTGTTTCCATATAATGCTCGCCAAATGTTGGATAACAAGTTCTAATTTGACATGGGTAGTTCAATAATTTACCAATCTTGTCTCGTCTCTTCCTCATAAAAAGAGAGTATTTTTACTGAAAGCATGTTTTTATGGTATTATTGATCGTATCAATTCTCTTCCTTGTTTGATGGCATAGGTATGTGGTAGCAGTGAATGCTATTGGTTTTGCATATGCAGCATTTCAAGCAATTGACATGGCATACCACTTGATCTACGGAAAACACATCATCTCGTATTCTCTTCGTCCTCACTTCGACTTCCTAATGGATCAGGCAAGTACCATAGGCACACAATCTTTTATTCTATATTTGTAGTTTATATTCTTTTACTTAACCTTTCTTGCAAACGGGGCGTCGATCGGATCAAAAGTAAGATCCGTGTACATCTTCAGCAGAATTCTTCATAATTTCTTAAAAAACGAAGTTGAAATCTTTAAAAACTTACATTCAACTCAAACAGGTTATCCGTTTGGAGATTTCAACATTAATTATATTATTAAATATCCAATAGATTCGCCTCAGTCTATAGCTCAGTTGGCAAAAGAGTGTGGGTGACTCTTTGCCCAAACACAAGACAGTTACTGGTTCGATCCCAGCCCTCCCCGGGCGGCTAGTCTTAGCCGTTGAGCGAGCCAAAAAAGAAAAAATACGTTAAAAACTCCAAAATCTTTATTTTGGAGAATCTGTTGAAGATGCTCTTACCTGCTAGATTCCTACATCTGGATGTGATATATTGGGTTTGATTGGTTCATCAGTTTTTATATTCTTATTCTTTATCTACAAAAAGAACATAAGTTCGGTCGTTACAATCACAGATATTGGCTTATCTCTTGATCTCGGCGTCATCTTCGGCAGCCACGAGGGTCGATGATTGGGTATCGAATTGGGGAAAAGATGCATTCACAGAAATGGCAACTGCATCTATAGGAATGTCCTTCTTAGCCTTTGTTGCCTTTGCCCTTAGTTCTCTAATATCTGGTTACAATCTTTGTAACCAGAATTCCCTTTGATTCTTCATTTCTCTAAATATTTGATCCATAATTGGTTTTTAAGTAACCAATCAAAGGGGTTTTACACCAATATTTAATTGTAAAGATGCTGTACAGGCAACAAAGAGGGAATGTCATAAATCCATATAAAAAAAAATTAGGTTTCTTTTGTAACTTATGAGGTTGTAAAATTGGGTTATTTAGGTGAGAAATAAAACAACCATTCCACTGTTATTTGTATCCAAAGATTTTCTTTTTCTTTCTTTCTTTTATATATATATATATATATATATATATATATATATATATATATATATATAGCTCAGTTGGCAAATGGCAGAATGAAATTGCTCAAATAGACAACAATGAGTTGAAGTTTGAATCCTATGAGAGACGCGCTTGAGCCCCTTTGTTTGATGAGTCAGTTTTGAAATGTCTTCTCATATGTGGTTCCTGAGGCGGGTTCTGTGGTAAGGATTGTTAGTAATAACCCTTTTTGCTCAAATTTATGCATACTCTTCATCTTTGTTGAGGTTAGAATCCTTGATCCTCTGGCTTTCAGAGAGGCACAATCGTTTGTTAACCAAGTAAATAGTATTAACTTTACAAACTGATATGAGACGTTCATTTTTATCAACATTTATGGTTAAATGAGATGTTATAAAATGATAAAAAAAGGAAAGAAATTAAATTGATTAAATGGATGGCAGTTTTGGAACAAATTGTTTTTATTTTTGGAAGATAATATGTTTAACACTCTCTTCTCTCTACCTTTTGAATTGTTCGATCTAAGTGTTTGTTTTTATTTTTACAAGATAATCATGTTCTATTTGGTGTTTGTCTAAAACTCATAGTGTTGTTTCATCTATGAACTTTGATTGTTCCGATATTTTTACCCAAGTTCAGAGGTAAAACCAGAAAATTTACATGTAAAACAACGATTTTTGTTTATAATTCATAGGTGAAACAATGATTTTTATTTAAATTTCATAATGTTGTTTCGTGTATGAAAATTGTTTGTTCCAATTTTTTTACCAAAGTTCATAGGTGAAACCAAAAATTGGTATGTGATAATTAAGGAATATGGTATCAATATATGAAATGACAAAAACATCCCAGTTAACAAAGTTTGTATTAATTACACGGTTAATAAAAGAAAATACCCCTCTCTCTAAAGGAAACGCGACAAAAACTTGAACGTGAGTGAGTGGGACAAAAATGCATTCTTCTGTTCCATCAAAATTGATGGAACAAAAATCATAGAAATGAAACAAGATTGATAAATTACTAAACTATTCATGTCAGTTTAAAACACTAAATCATGCCTATTTCATTCATGTCTGTTCCTGTTCTATTCATTTCTCTCTGCTTACCAACGTGTCCTAAAGATGTATTTGTTTGCGTTGAATGTTTTTGTTGCAAATGTTGTGCATTTTATGGCCAAGGTTGTAGTCGATGTACCTAACCAGACCACTTACCGGTTCGGGCCTACTGTAATGTAGTGTTGGTCGGGTGGTATGAGACCGGTTGGTAGTTCAGGTTCAACCCATTATGCAAATAGGGTATAACGTTATCTTTCGAAAGGAAATATCATTTTTCATTTAATAATAGCTTATCATACTGATGCATAATAGCAGTATTTGACTATTGATCAAAATTTACAAGTCTTGTAAAGAAATATTAAAAAAACAGAAGGGTTTTTTAACATATAATTAATGTCAGCACGAAATGTTCGTCTTGGTTCCAATTATAGATGCACAAGAACCGGACATCTAACCGATCCTTAGACCCACCACCCATCGCCATCATCTACTTGAAGATCATAATTGAAGTAGAGTCGTTGATCCAAAAACCAGTCATTTACAATATGATTTCTTATTAGGCGTACCTAATCGGGCCAAATTTGATTTCTTGGAATATCGTTTAAACGTATTAACGTTTGTATGTTTATGTTATGTATGGTAACTGGTCTCGAACCGGTCCCCCACCCAAAAATCTTAGCTGACGTGAGGTTTTATGCGGTTCAAAGTGGGTCTGGGCTCGGGCTTCGGGCCGAAATGCACATCTCTACTACAATCATTTGCTTTTAAATTGTAATTTCGAATCTCTTTAGAAACACGGGTGTTTCAAATTTACATTCTAATTTATTAAAAAAAATATTAACAGATATATAGAGGAGATATCTTTTACAGACTCAACCATTAGTATAAGCCATATAAACCAATCCATTTAAGATATTTATGAAAATGATGAGAATTTATTTATTATGATTTAAATATTTATGTAAGATTATCATTCTTTATATTAAGAAACAGTCCAGATATTCATTGAATTAGATATTTATTAGATTACATAAACGATTGAAATTGGTTTGTAAGGTTTGAACTAATAGTTGGTTCTAAACTTTATAACCTGGGTCTGTCAAAAATAACACTTTTCGTTCTTGGAGGTTCAAATTACAGAATGACCATTGTCGTTTGAAAAAAATGTTCAGATTTGGTCCCTCCCACTAATGGTCATCAAATAATTTCCGTTAATGATGAAAATTTTCGTTCTTTTATTGATTTTTTTGTCTTTTATCTGATCAAAAGCTACATAACCAAAATCATAAAATCGATTTTGATTAAATAAAAGAAAATTTTTTCATAAAAGCACAAAGAAGTTTCTCATTAAACGAAAAAGTTTAACAACCGTTAAAACGAACCAAATCTGGACTTCTTCATGAAACCATAATGAACAACTTGTAATTTTAAAACTCAAACGAAAAGAAATGTTATTTTCAACAAACTATAGGGACTAAATTTGTAATTTACTCTTATAACAAAGGATATTTTAGGTATTTAATAATTAGTTCAAAATACCAACAATAGTAATTATAATAAATGATATAGAATCAACGGATTCGTGATAAATTAAATATAATCGGTATATTTTTTTTATTTCTCTTACTAAAATAATATCTACATTAAATTACAAAATATTTGATAAAAACTGTTAAAAACTATTTTTTATGCATAAAGTACTGTTTATTGATGCATATTATTTAAAATTCAAGATTACAAGTAATTACGCGTAAGTACAATATATTAAACCTTTATTTTTAAATTCGCCTAACTAACTACAAATATTACAATCATATACAAGATAAACCTCCATTTTAAATATGAAAATTTAAAATATAATTAAGATAATTGTTGAGTTCTAACAGAATGTTTAATTATTATCTCTATAAAAAATTATATTGTTAAACCAAAAATAAATTAATTTATTATTAAATATAAATTAAATTACAATAAAAAATTGAATTAAAGAAGTTACATAAAAAACAAGAACTATTAAATAGTTAATTTGATACTAATATCGATTTATATTCTTCAAATTTTTATGTTATATTCAAATTTATATTTTATTCAAAAATAAAAATATTATTGTTTTCTCAAAACCACATAAAACCGTATTATATCAATAGAGATAAATAATAAAAACTAAACATTAAAATCAAGATTTATCTCGTTGCATTACACGAATACCTTTCTAGTTTATTATAAAAGATTTGAAATCCAAAAAAAATGTTAGGTTTATACTATTCTAAAATTTATTAGATCAATAAAATAAAAATCAATTATCACGTACGTCTAAAATTGACATGACATTTCAAGATCCAAACTAAAAAGTCATAAAAATGACAACATTAAACCATTATTTTTGACTTGACTATTTTTTATTTTCGATTGATCAAATGAATAAAATTTAGAGAAAATAATCAAAAATAAAAATAAATAGTTACTTGTCAATTGCTGAATGCTTTGATACAGAATGATTAAGTGATTAGAATGCTTAAAAGTCTATCATGATATAGTGCAAAATGAAATAACTATTTGATAACTGTTTACAATGAAATTAGAAAGCTGAATGGTTAAGCGAGACCACCCGTGATATAAAATCATTCAAAGAGTTTTATAACCATTAAGAGATAATTTTTTTTTTTTGCTAAACAAGATTCGTCTCTTAACGATTCAGAGACTGTCTTTTAATGAAACTATTAAGAGATAAACAAACAACCCACAAGTCTAGATATTAACATGCTTAAAACCTCTTAATTCTGTTGTTAAAAAGACTTAAATTATTATTTAATACTGTAATTTTTATTATCATATTTTTCCATTACTTTACAGATGAAATAAACAGATAAAAATGTTACTCGAACCAGATAAGTCACTCGAACCAGATAAGTCACTCGAACCAAACCCATTTTCACACAGATTAAACTTTTATCAGTTTCGACATTTTATCAATCCTGTCTTACCTACTTATTTTATCTTATTAAATAAGTTCAGAATATGTCGTCGTTTAAAATAATAGTTAATTTACGTGGTCCTTTTCTTGTTTGGTACCAAAGACGTAAATAATGAGTTGTACCATATATTGTACGTACTTGACCTACATGTGATTTCAATTATTCCTTTTTATTAAAAATATAATTTATTTATTCCTTATTTAATAAAATATAATCAGTGTAATAAATTTAAATAAAAACCCAATTTTTACGGTTGAGAAACATTGTCGCTTGATATATCGTTATCTTGTGTCTTTGAGAGAGGATAAATTATATGAAAAAATAACGTATTTTGACTTGATTTCTATTTTTGGTAACGTACTTTCAAAACTTTCATTTTGGTAACCAAAATGTTAAGTTTTAAACATTTAAGTACCCGTGTAATTGGTTGAAGCATTAACCGGCTACCATGCTGATGTGGCGAGTGATGTGGTATCAAACTCAGTATTATTTGCTGACATGAATATTTTAATCTAAAATTAGTTTTTTTTTATATATATTGTGGTTTATCAGAAGAAAAAGTTAATGCTTCAATGGTTACCCATGTACTTGAATATTTAAAACTTTACATCTTAGGTGTTAAAAAAGAAGTTTTGAAAGTACGTTAGTAAAAATAGAAATCAAATTAAAGTACGTTACTTTTTTATGCAATTATTATTTAAAAGATTGTAAAGTTGATGGGATTTTAATAGTAATAGTATCCTAAGAATTATGTTATAATACATATTTTAAACACATATATCTACAATAAAATATGTGTTGTAAAATACATATCAAGTTGATGCGGTGGGGAGTATGCTTTTAATCATATGTGAATTATTAGGAATATGTGGTCTATAATAATTGCATAAACTTTAAACAATCATCAAATTTTCTAGAAAAACGTTGGAACACCACCGTAGTAGGCCTGGCAACAGGGTGGGGATGGGGCGGGTTTTGTAGTCCTCGGCTCCGCTTTGTAGTAACGTCCCCCGGCCCCGCTCTTTGGTGGATACGGGGATTATCATCCCGTCCCCTGTCAAATCTCTAGCAATCCCCGGTCAATCCCCAAAAATAGTATCCTTTAGTTTGATTCTACCGATGATCCTCGGCCTCGGTTTGAGTAATATCCCCTGTCTCCGGACCCGGGACCCATTTTAGCGGAGAATCCCTGTCGTCGTTCGGGTCAATGAACTCGGTTCCCCACGGGGTCGGGGTAAATCACCATCCCTACACCGTAGTATTTGGATGAATTGGATCCGCAGATGCGACATGTCAAAATGACAGTGGCATTTTGGTAATAAAGTTCTGTGGCAAAGTTGAGAGGGGGAGGGGGGAGGTGGTCACATAAGTTTAGAAGAAAATGTTAACGTATAACCTTCATTAAAACACCTTAACACGATAATATCAATATAAGTTAACATATGTTAACTTAATCGATATCGATCAGTTCAGATACAAAATACGCAACGACCAAACAAGCCTTCCCTTAGAATAGGTTGTGCACATTAATGTCCTTGGATAAAACAAAATGTTTGATCCTTCGGTAACAGCAAGACGAAGACCAAGAGTCCTATCCGGTAAGTGAGGGTTTATCGGGTAAATTGTTGCATACCATATTGTTTTAACAAATTAAAATCTTACCCAATAAGTAAATAATAATTTTAAATTTACCGATAATCATTTACCGGGTAAGTATTGATAAACGGTTCATAAAAGACCATTAATAAAACTATGGATATAAATATATATATTTTAATAAAAATAAAAAAATAAAAAGGAAAATAAATAGGAATAGGAATGGAGTGACAGAAGTACAAGATTTGGCGGCAACCCCTATAAAGTAAGAGAGAGAAAGGCCGTATACGGAAGGAGGATACGGCACTGTCCGACACCCATCCCCTCTACCCCACGCGCCTTTCCATTCCTTTTACCTTTCTACCCCTCCTTTTTCTTTTTTCCCTTTTATTTATTTTTCGGGAAAATTATATTTTAAAACTTTATAATTTTAAATATATTTATTTTTAATTTCTGATTATTAATATACTGTAGATAAATTTTGATGTAATTTTTTAAAAATAATTTTAAATTATAAATTTAAATAATTTAAACTTTCAAATATATTTAGAAATAAATGACTTTTTGATTAATTTTTCATTAATCTTATATGAATAAAGTTGATTGTATGAATTAATTTATCTGTATGGATTAAGAGGGTTTGTATTTTCCAGGGTTTTTTTTTTTTATAAATGGTAAGGACATGGTTTTTAATTGATAGAGATATGATTGAAAAAACTTGACTTTATACATAAGCTTCATTTAAAGCTTACTGAATAAGTCATTTTTTATATTATTAAACTCTTAACAATCAGAAGTTAAGGGGTTGTTTGTTTATTACTTAATAGTTTCATTAAAAAATCAACATCTGAATCGTTAAGAGGTGAATTTTGTTTGGCAAAAAAAAAATATGTCTCTTAATGGTTCTAAAACCCTTTGAATGATTTTGTATCCATGGCCTCCCTTAACCATTCAGCACCTTAATTTAATTTGTAAACAATTACCAGACAATTATATTTCATTTTGCATTATACCATGAGAGACTCTTAATCATTCCGATCACTTAATCATTCTGCATCAAACCATTCAACAATTGCCAAACAGCCCCTTAAGTCTTACAAACTACTTTTTTTCTTTATCTGTTTACTTTTAACCATTCATTTTCTTTTATTTTTTTAAATAATATAATGAAATATTGTGTATTGAGTAAATGTATATTTATTACTTGTGGTCGTAATAATTGTATTTTTTATATTTAGTAAATTTTAATTATTTAACAAAATAACAAATAAAAAAGGTATTTAAGTAATTTTATTTTATAGACGATAATTTTGTTACAACTTATATGAAATTGCTTATCTTATTCTTAAATTATAAATCTATTAATAAAAAAACCAGAATTATTTAAAAAAAATATATAAATTAACATAATTTCTAAAACAATTATTGCACAAATTTGATTAAAAATAATCAATTATTAAATTATTTAAAAACCAAAAAATTTGTATTTGTTTAAGAGAAAAATTAGTGAAATATGAAGGGGCAATATGGTCATTTTGTAAAAAAAAAAACATCATGATCTGGAATTATAGAAATTAGAAGGGCAAAATAGGAAACACAGGAAAAAGTTAGAGGTCGTGATCAAAGGGCAGTACCCCTCTTGTCTCCTTTGAAGTGGATCTTCGCACGTTATGATTGCTGAACACCAAGTGAACGACACACTTCTACCGGAATACTTTTCTCTCCGGCGGCACAACCGCCATCACCACCGCTATCACCACCGCCAACTTTTATATCTGTACTTCTTAACGCGCTTATTCTTCCAATAGCTGTATAGCTTGCATCTGTTAGTTCGTCTCCCATGCTAGATATATAGAGTTTCTATAGTCACACTTTTTCCATCTAGTTGATTTCATTGTGTTCTTAGGTTCTGTCTATAGTGAAGATCCAGATTCAGACAACGTGAAAAAGAGGGAGATTTTTCGTATCTTCAAGCTCGCACTCATATCGATGCGTATCTAATCTAATCTCTTCACTTTTACCTATCTGAATTTGGATTTTTTGCTTTATTGTTTTTGTTGAATCGAATCACTTTTCAGCCACCTGAATGGAGCTGAATCCGTTGGCTAATGATGATCATCAACAGAAAACGTTACGATTTACAAATGTAGCTTGTTAGATATAGTTTTTTTTTTTTGGAGGAAACTTGAATTATTTCTGTTACATTTACGTGCATACAAAGTGTTTGATATTTGTTGTTAATGAACCTATGAAGAATTTGAATTGGCTTAAGCACATTTCGTACAATGGGAAGTTGGAGAGGAGGTTATCTCTTGGTGAATACAAGAGAGCTGTTTCATGGTCGAAGTATTTAGTGTCATCTGGAGGTGAGATAAAAGCGAAAGGTGAAGAAGAAGAAGAATTGGAATGGAGTGCAGATATGTCACAGCTGTTTATCGGGAACAAATTCGCCATGGGAAGACACAGTAGGATTTACAGAGGAGTTTATAAGCAGAAAGATGTTGCTGTTAAGCTTATTAGTCAGCCTGAAGAAGATCCCGATTTGGCTTCTATGTTGGAAAAACAGTTCACTTCTGAGGTCGTCTTGCTTTTTCGTCTCAAGCATCCCAATATCATCACTGTAAGTAATATTAGCTTGTTGTTTTCTTAATTATCCTCTCTTGATTATCACATGAGTACATGATATATAACACACACACACATATATATGATACACAGATTTTTTAATCATTTTGTACCAAATCATTCGCCATCTATCAACGGTTTAAACAAAGAACCTGCTATGTTCAACCTTGCGATCAATAGATTCACATGTTTTGTGATTAAGTTCATGTCCACAGCCAAACTCGCCATTTTTAGATTGTTATTTCCGGTAATATATTGAGAGAATATGTCAAATTCTTTTTTACATAAAAGTAATATTCAACCAAAGGGTGTGATATCAGGGTTCCAGGTAAATCCTGACCTGCCTAGAGGTCAAGGTTCAAACTTCACCTAACTATATTATGCATTTCAAAAAGAAGTAGTAAGTTCTAACTTTGGTGGAGTTGAAGGTAAATTTAAGGTGGCTATGAATTTGTCCTTCGTGGTTGTAAGCTGGCAAAGCAATAAAGATTGCTGGGAAAATGTACAACGGGTACATAATAAATAAGCAAACCAAACCGACCTAAATCTGATGCCCCGAGGAGTAAAGAGAATGTTTCCAATACTTCCAAAATGGTAAAAGTTTTTGTGAAAGAGAGTGTATGGCAAGAGGATGCATGATTTTCTAACAAAAATAAAATAAAAATGATGAATTTGGTGGTTGGCATTTGCCATTTCTTAAATTGTGATAGATTGCAAGATTAAGACCTTTGAGACAGTGCCAGCTGCTTATTCTCATAAGATGGTCCACATAATTTTCCTTGCTTCTTTAGAGTCATTTTTATTAATAATGACCAGAAGACCTCGATCACCCGTTGGAGACAACTAGGATTCGAGACGTTAGCCGTCAATCGGTTGATATATCATGATAATTCATTGGGTGACCCACAAACATAGGGATTAGAACGAAGTTGAATTGTTGTTTGTTTTGTTGTACTAAATAATCTGTCTAAAGACCGATAATAAACTTGAATTCAGACTTTTTTTATTTGCTTACATCACAAAGAAAGTTTAGATTCTGCAATTGACATGGATATTATTCCCTCATGTCAAAAGAGAAGATGACTATTCTCAAGAGTAATAATAGTTTGTTTTTTGTGGCCTGCTTATTCCATATCAATTGTTTATGTGTGGCATGCTTGAAGATCATTTAAAATCTGTGAAAAGCTTAATCATTGCCCTCAAGTCCTTCGGAGATTTCTTTAAAACCCAACATAAAGCTTTTATCTTTTTATATTTATATTTACATGGTCCGGATATCCACAGTTACCCAAAAAAACATTTTGCTTACTAAAATTTCGTACCTTTTATGTGCGCTTTAGGTTGGTGGGAAATGTTAACAAGCATTTATTCATTGTTTATTTTGATTTTTCGAAGAAAGAAAGAATCCAACATATTGTGTCTTATCTATTAAGACCATGTTTGGTAACCATAACCTAATTTATTTCTTGAGTTTATTGAGAAGTTCTATTTGGTTAGTTGGCTAGCTTTTTGATATGCAACTTCAACTTGTGTTCAAAAGCTTTTTTTTCACTCAATTATTCCCCTGATGTTTTTCCAAATAAATTTTTCAGCATGTCTTTTTAGATTATTTTACATTGTTAGTTTTTACCAAAGATGATTAGTTTATCGACTAACCGGCGCTTCTGGTCCAAACATGGCCTATATAGTATTGTTTTGAACTCTCTACAGTCGCCTTCCTTAAATAGATTGTGATTTGTTTGTGACAACTGCATTTTCCTATTTTCATGCAGTTTTTTGCAGCTTGCAAGAAACCACCGGTGTTTTGTATAATCAACGAGTATCTGGCTGGTGGTTCCCTGAGGGCATTTCTTCATCAGCAGGAGCCATATTCACTGCATCCCAATCTAGTTTTAAAGTTGGCCATTGACATTGCAAGAGGAATGCAATATCTCCACTCTCAAGGTATAATTCATAGGGATCTCAAATCCGAAAATCTACTTCTTGGTGAAGATATGTGTGTAAAAGTAGCRGATTTTGGTATCTCRTGTTTRGAATCTCAATGTGGYAGTGCAAAGGGATTTACRGGTACTTATCGTTGGATGGCACCAGAAATGATCAAAGAACAGAAACACACAAAGAAAATTGATGTCTACAGTTTCGCGGTTGTCTTGTGGGAGCTTTTAACTGCGTTGACACCATTTGACGATATGACTCCAGAACAGGCTGCATTTGCAGTATGCCAAAAGGTATCTTCTTTAATCATATTACTCTACGATGTTAATTTTAAAATTCTACATATATACGTTTGAGAATATGTGGAACCCCTGATATACTCTCGAACAGAGCCTTTGAGGAGAGAAGGGAGGTTCCAATATAGACAAAGGAGAATGGTCCAAGTCTAACCAATGTGGGATTTTAACATGCCCCCTCGAATGGAGGCTAGACGGACACATATTGTCCAAGAGTGTCGAGAGGGGGCTAGACATGTGAGGGGCTAAACTAGTAAAGATTGCCCAGAGTGTTGAATCTTTGGAGTGGTAGATCTTGGCTCTAATACCATGTAAGGATTTCCTTGTGATCTTGGCTCTGATACCACGAGTAGTAAAACACCAAACTCGACTTGAATTCGATCGCAATTTTTTGACCTCAAACTCAAGCTCGAACTTGTTTATTGCTCAAATAAAGCTCGAACTCGTTTGAAGCTCGAACCAAGCTCGAACTCGTTTGAAGCTCGAACCAAGCTCAAACTTGAACTCAAATCAAACTCAAACTCGAATCAAGCTTGAAATTTTCGAGTCTTCTCTTATAAATTTTAAAACTTAAAAGGTGTTCACTTAATTTTTATAAAACTATAAGGGATACACCTCAAACTTCTTCATCAAAAAAACAAAGTTACAAACTTCATTCACCTCCTCCTCCTCACCTTCCTTCACTTTCTCTCTTCCAACGTGGACAACTTCACCAACACTTCTATAGTTTTTTTTTCTCCTTTTTAATTATGATTTTAATAAAAAAATAATTGATTAATTTTTATAGTTAAAGAATGCATAATTTTGTGTAAATATCTAAAAATATAAGACATTTTTTTATTATATTATATTTTACAAATTATATTACAAAACTGATTTAATTTAAAACTAATTATATATAAAAAGATCGAATATCTCACGAGCTTTGCGAGTCGAGTATTGGGTAGCTCGACTCGACTCGTTAATATGTCGAGCCGAGCTCGAGTTCGAGTCAAGTATTGACCGAGCTTTTGACCGAGTTGATCTCGTACCATCTACACGCCTATGTTGGAGTCCCATATCGGCTAGACTTGGACCATTTCTCCTATTGGTTCTTTTGAAGAATAATCTAATGAGATTTTACATATTCTCACACTTACAAAACTCAAGTTCCGTTACTCTTGATGGCTGTGCTCTCACCAAACCGAACCGAACCAAACCAAATGAACCTGTTTAGACCATTTTACATTTTTAGTTTATCGGTCTCGTTTATATGTTTAAGGAGAATGAAAACTTTAACTGCGGGTCCAATTTTATTTGATATGAGGAGAATTTTGATCAGAACCCACGGAACGAAGGAAGAGAATGAAAGAAAATGGTTATCAAACGAATTAAAAGTTACCTTTTACGGAAAGTAAAATCATCGATTTATGTCCTGTTCTTTACGTACTTGGTTCATTTTGTAGAACGCTAGACCACCACTGGCGGCATCATGTCCAAAGGCGTTCCGTGAACTCATCAACCGCTGCTGGTCTAGTAAACCATGTAAGCGGCCTGGTTTCAATGAAATCGTCAAAGTGTTGGAACGATACGCGGCTTCCGTTGAGCAAGATCCCGACTTTCTTGCAACATATGAACCTGGCGACGATCGTACTTTGTTGAGATGCTATCCCGGGTGCCGCAAATCGGCTTCGGCAAGATCATAAGAATTGTTATGATCATGGATGCATGATGCTGGATTATTTACCAAGGTATCATCAACATCTTGTTGCTTGATATAAACTCAGTTGGTCCAATTATATAATTATATATCATATATATATGATTGCAAGTTCTCTTAGTATTGTTATGTGCAAGGAGATATACAATGCCTTCCCTCCATTATATTCAAATTCAAGATCATGTTATTGAGAGTAGTAACACTAAGGCACCGTTTACCGAACGCTTATTCGAGTAAGCACTTACCAAGTTATGTTATTTTATCAGATGAATATGGTAAGGACCAAGAATCTTACTCGATAAGAGAGAAACAAGGACCGAAAGTCTTACCCGGTAAGTGAGAGTGACAACTCTTACCACAGACACAGTTAGTGCTTACCGGGTAAATTGTTGCATACGATACTGTTTTCGTGAACTAAAATCCTACCCGGTAAGTAAGCGATAGTGTTGAATTTCACGATTAAGCACTTACTAGGTAAGTGATTAGGTAAACGGCCCCTAACAGTTCTATTCTTTTGGATGGGAGATTGGTAAGGTTGTGTTTCCTACACTGTACAGGATAGAACAAGGATCACTGTTTTACGTTCGGTAGAACTTTTATGTGGAACAAAGTAGAACAGACCTGTTCCACTCCACCCCATGGAACATGCTAGAACAAGGTGAAACAAACCTTTATTTTACTAATATAACCTTAAAATAAAACTTAATTCGCTTTTAAAACATCAAATATATCTCCCACTTTATATCTTATTCATTTTTTAAATTTTACTTATTGTATTTTATACTCTTTAAACTTTTATTTGACTCTCCTCAGTATATTACTTTTATATGGTTTTTATATTTTGCTTGATTTATTAAATAATATTAATAAAAAATAATATAGAAAAGAAATAAAATAAATTTGGAAACTACATACACTTTTTATTTTGGTGTCATTTTTATTGTTTTGAAAAAAACTTTCTAATGTTAAAAAAATATTTATCTTAATATAATTTAATAAATCACATAAATTATTCGGAACATATAAAATATATGAACAATTCATTAGTGGATATCAAAAGCTGAACAACTGTTCTATCATATCCGATTTTGTCTTACTAAAGACTGAACAATTGTTCTATCATGTTTTGCTGTAATCTGTCCTATTCTATCTGGGTATCAAACGCATTCTGAAAAAACAAGTTCAATTTGAATTGTAGAGAAATAAAATAAAATAAATTTTATAGTAATTTAAAAAATACCATTTTTTTATTAACTTGGATATCCAACCCGTTATGCGAGCAGACTAATACCAGGACGACCACCTGCTTTGCAGATAGTCCGGAGTCACCGCATTTGAACCTACGTGACCACAAGGGGATTTTTATTTCTCCTTGGATTTGAACCTGGGACCTCCTGGTACTTTTGACATTTGGAGGCAAGCTCAAACCAATCAGGCACGACCCTTGTGGTTAAAAATACCAATATTTATCTTATAGGAAACTATAAACCAGGGATGACCATTTATTGGGCTGAATATATAACTTATTTTTTGTCCAACTGACTTAATATAACAAATACAAATCATTTCTATGAGCTTCATAACTTGACCATATTGTCCCGTTAATTCTAAACGGTTTGGATTTACACACGGAATCACAAACGTAAAAACTCTTTTACCTTAAACAAGAAAATTTAGTGGATACATACGTTTAAGAACAAAAAATAGCTTCACAAAATACAAAGCGAAAATTTCATTTCCAAGTTTTTGGTATTTTGGAACGTGAAAAACGTTCCAAGCGGACTTGCACAAAATATTTTTTGCATCGTTTATACCCGTCTATTGATCTTAACTGATCGGTCTAGGCACGCCTAGTTTTTCAAGAATAGTTGTCAAAGTCTGCTTTCTAGAGGACCAGAAGGAATGGGTCTAGTACATCATTTTGTCCATGAACGGTTCTATTGTAAATGCACAAATATCACTCAAAGTGACGTTTTGATGGCATTGATAAAGTTGTACCATTAGAACCGTTAACATAACAGTCTTATGATTATGTTTGTCAAATAAATCCAAAAAAACCATTATTAGCGTGTAGTAGATTGGTCTGAGTGCGTAATACGCCTATCGAGAAGAAATCTCATCAATTGATACGGTAGAGGAACGATTATATATCAGAGAAATTGCATCAACATGAAAAATACGATTCTAATTTTACTTTTTTTTTTTTTGGAGAATCAACTTTCAGATTTTCTCATTTCATGAATTGGGTAACCAAATTCATGTTCTCAAAACATGAAGAAAAGTAACTCTGGTTCCATTCGAGTTTCCTTAAAATGAAAATTTTGAAAGTTGGTTCTTCAAAACAAGGACATCCCTTAACATGTTAGATGTGAGATTTTGAACAGAGCCTCCGAAATTTTGGGGCCCAAATTTACATGTTTTTAGGGTTTTTTTATCAACCTATATCAAACTATACCCGAAATTATTTAAGTTCAAACCATTAACTGTTTGGTTTTAGGTACAGATTATTAATGGTTTAGGTTTAGTTTCAGATTGTTAATCATTTTAGATTTAACCCATTTTTGTTTTTAACATATATTTTCTGTTATCTCATTTATGCAATGTAATAAAAAAAACTTGGATGTAACGAGGCCTCCAAAAAGATTAGAACGTCCCTGCTTCAAAATAAAATTAAAGAGAAAAAGTATTTTATTTCGTTGTATTTTGCCCACCATAAAATCCATTTGACAATATATTTATGGTTGTTGTCCTTTTTAGTTTTTTGTTCCGCTTTTTATACGTCTTGTAGAAAGTTGTTGTTCGAACTCTTGTAGTTTCTTGTTTGTTAATATATATGGTTTGACCTGCAAAAAAACAGGTAATTTCTACAGTTTGATAAACAAAATATAATACATGCATAAAATCAAAAATATATATAATTCAAACATGTATTGTGAATTCATATCAAAATAAAATCATTAAGGTGACGTTTGTTTTTTAAGATGTGCGAAAGTCTGAAGTATGATTTCACTTCTAATTTATAAGAGATGGTTTTGAAATCTGAAATCTGGATCAGTAAAATTGTTTGTTTTTACGTCTGAAGTCTGAAATTTAAAGTGGTCAAACTAGTGCAAAAGTATAAAAGATAAATAGTTTTTACTAACAAATCTCTTCCAGACCTCAAAATATGAACCATTTGGTAGAGGAAGGATTAAGATTAAGATGTATTAAGAGACACGTTTACCACTTAAAATTTCAAACGACATTTAGAGCTTTTAAACTCTTATTTTAAAAGCAAACACTCTTAATACCCAAATGTCTGAACGAATCAGACTTCAAAGGTATTAAGAGATAATTTTGAAAAAAAAAAAAAAACGAACATGCCCTAAATCAATCATATAAATAATATCTTTATATTTCATGAATTTCGATTTCGAATCAGTACAAGGACATTTTTTCTACAACGAATAGACATTACATCCATTTTGGGATAAGATTCTTCACCACATCCCGAATACACATCTCACAGATGATTTGTTCTTAGCTATCTCATTATCATACTAAATATCGCTCATTCATTCCACCCTGATAATCGAAGCAATGCAAGGGAAGCTACATGACGTTATGTTGATGAGATCGATGAAGGTGACGACGCCAACACAGGGGTCTATTGGTTTATACTAATAATAATCTTTTAACTTCAGTGTTTTTTAAATCAACCCATATCTAAAGTGGGTTTAAACTAATATTAAAGACAGATCATATCTCATAACTATGTTAACCACTAGAAAAACTCACTTATGCTACCAATATTACAACACCTGTGCAAAGTAGCACTCACGGGTTCAAATGATGTGGCTAGGGATGGTGATTTGCCTTGACACGGTGGAGAACCCGGCTCACCCGACCCGAAAACGGAGACAGGGATTCCCAGCTAAAACAGGCCCCGGGACGGGGATCCCAATAGACTCAAACCGAGGTTTGGGCTGGGGTAGTGTATCCCTCGACCCCCCAGTATTCGGTATATAATTTTATTAATATATTTTATATAATATTTGTGTGTGTATGTAATTTTCGCTAAATTTGTCTTCAAAATTATTCATTAATTATATGAATCGTGGTTATATACAATGTATGAAAGGTTTAATCAACAAGCGACAGTTTGGCCGAGTGGTCTAAGGCGCCAGATTTAGGCTCTGGTCCGAAAGGGCGTGGGTTCAAATCCCACAGCTGTCATATCATTTTTTTCCTATTCATTTGTATACATTTCGGCTCCACCGCAAAACTTGCCGGTGCCGGAAAATATTTCTTTATTTAATTGTACACATTTCGGCTCCATCGGAAAACTCGCCTACGCCGGAAAATATTTCTTTATTTAATTGTATACATTTCGGCTCCGCCGGAAATCATTTTCTTTTACTTTTTGTTATAATTTTTTTTTATTAACTTGGATATCCAACCCGCTAGCCAACTAATCCCAGGGCGATTATCTGCTTTGCAGATGGTCCGGAGTCATCGCATTTGAACCTCCGTGACCACAAGAAGATTTTTATTCTTACTTGGATTTGAACTTAGGACCTCCTGGTACTTTTGACATTTGGAGCCAAAATCGAACCAATCGAACACCACCCTTGTGGTTATTGTTATACATTTGGGTTTCGTCAGAAAAACTTGTTGGCCCCGGAAAATATTTTTTCTCCTCCACCTCTTCCACCACTTTATATTAGGAGATCATAAGTGAAGTGGTCATATTCTGCTACCTCTAAGGGTTGTTTATCAAAAGGTCTTTGGCCTAACGGTATGTGAGTGTTTGGCCTCGTAGGAGGTCAATAATTCAAACTTCATCAAAGATGAGGTAAATATATGAGTTTATTTGTTTTATTTGTCGTATATAAATATTATATACTACCCTTATCTACCTTATCATGTAGCACTCGTCCATTAAAATGGCTTGTTGGTAAATGTATTTTACCTGATAAACATTTATCAGATAAAATTCTTTTATTTACAGGTATTAAAAGTTAACTATAAATCAATCATGTATATATATTTTTAATTCTATTTTGTGCATTTTGGTCCACAAATATGTGCATACATGCATTGAAAAAATTTATGTAGGAAATATAT